TTGCCTTAAGGCACGATGCCATGCGCCCCGCTAGTTTGATGAAAAAATAACAAATAAACAGTAATACGTAAGTTAGTCAAACTACTTACAATTAGATACATACCCAGTGAGAATATTAAATCACATGTGAGTAATGATCAATCACTAATAATTAATCGATTAATAATTGTAAATCAATAAAATGATGTAGGTAAACGGTTATTTATTAATTAATCATTGCCTAAGAAAGACTAATTAAAATGAATTGTACACAACCTTCATTTATTACACTCACTAACGTGTAAATGCTATCACATTCGAGATTTCATCTTTGGTTTAAGAAAAAATGACAATGTTATCATTTTCTCCTGTATGTCAACAAGTAGTGTTTCTGTATCTGGTTCTACAACCTGCACTGGGTCAAACCATGACCTGAGTCAAGGAATGAAGTGCTCATATTCTTGAAATCTGACATTTTATGATTATTGCTCGACGAGGAGAGATGGAGCTTAATAGTCGACTCTGCGCCATTTTGGGGTTGAAATTGTCACGAAACGGCGGGGTTAAGGAAAAGTCGATACAAATTATACGCGCAATTTAGTTTTACGTCATTTGCTGCAGAAGAGAACGATGAAATGATACTGGAGACGTCGATAGAGAATGTGGTTCATAGGGACATACGAAATTAGAGTCACTTACATGAATAAATATCTATGTAAGAACTTGATTTACCGAATCTTTGTTTATATAGTCGAACGAGTGCTATTTTTATTTTATATTTATTTATAATATTGTTACAATATTATAATATTAAAACTTACATTAACCAGTTAACTTGTTGAATTTATAACAATGTTGTCCACAATTTACTACCATAACAATTTTCATAAAGAAATAATTGTGTAATATCGAATCCTTCGAAATTTCATCTATCAAATCAATTGTTTAGATTGCAAATTAATTTATATTGGTAAAACTAGACAAAACTTAGTAAAACGACTTAAGTAATAAAAAACAATATA